TGCTGTTTATCGTTTTTTGGACTTTCTAAAAATAGTCTGAAAAGTATGAAACCAGTTTGATAAAAGTGCAAATTCCGATCGCGATCGGAATGTGTACTTTTAGCGATCATGTTTTATGAGTCATTGTAGCTTCGTGTTCGTTCTAGAATATTCAGTTATAAGTGTATAAAAGGAGAAGAAATCATCGGTAGTTTTTATGAACAGGAATTGCAGAAGAGTAAATTTTAATATTATTCTTTTATATTATCAATCAAATATTTTTTTATCGTAATTTTATTTTTTTCTATATGTGAAAAAAGGTTAATCGGCTCGCGCCGAACACACTCATATGTTCTTTCTAAAATACCCTTTTATTTTTTATCGATTTTTTAAAAAGATTAAGAGAGGGGAACCCTCAAATAATGTTTTTATTTTTTCGGGGAAAAATTGGACTGTCCGACAAAGAGATCTTATTGTGTGATGACGGAAACAAGGACTCTAAGAGAAATACAAATATTTCTCCGTTCCTCCTCCTCTTCTTCTTCTTCTTCTTCTTCTTCTTCTTCTTCTTCTTCTTCTTCTTCTTCTTCTTCTTCTTCTTCTTCTTCTTCTTCTTCTTCTTCTTCTTCTTCTTCTTCTTCTTCTTCTTCTTCTTCTTCTTCTTCTTCTTCTTCTTTTTCTTCTTCTTCTTCTTCTTCTTCTTCTTCTTCTTCTTCTTCTTCTTCTTCTTCTTCTTCTTCTTCTTCTTCTTCTTCTTCTTCTTCTTCTTCTTCTTCTTCTTCTTCTTCTTCTTCTTCTTCTTCTTCTTCTTCTTCTTCTTCTTCTTCTTCTTCTTCTTCTTCTTCTTCTTTTTCTTTTTCTTGTTCTTCTTCTTCTTCTTCTTTTTCTTGTTCTTCTTCTTCTTCTTCTTCTTCTTCTTCTTCTTCTTCTTCTTCTTCTTCTTCTTCTTCTTGTTCTTCTTCTTGTTCTTGTTCTTGTTCTTGTTCTTCTTCTTCTTCTTCTTCTTCTTCTTCTTCTTCTTCTTCTTCTTCTTCTTCTTCTTCTTCTTCTTCTTCTTCTTCTTCTTCTTCTTCTTCTTCTTCTTCTTCTTCTTCTTCTTCTTATTCTTGTATTTCATTTTCTTCTTCTTTTTCGTTCTTCTTCTTTTTTTCTTCTCTGTCTATTTTTCCCACTTCGTGTCTTTTCCTCTTTAGCCTCCTCCTCTTTTTCTTTTCGATTGTCTTCTTTTATTTTGTCTTGACTCTGCGTATATATATATATATATATATATATATATATATATCTATATATATATATATATATATATATATATATAAAGATATATTTATGTGTGTGTGTGTGCGAGTCTGTGTGTGTTTGTGTGTGTATGTGTATGTTGGTAGGGATATCATTTTTACAGCAGGACAAAACATCTGAAAACGTCTGCGGACACATTACCTCCATATACTCCACCTCACAAAGCATGAGGTCATTTTCTCTATTGAAGAAGGTGATTATTAGCATCTTGACAGGTATTGGAATTAGGTTAATTATGTAGATCGTCTGAGGTTCAGGAATAGTGTCTCGATGTAAGAACAGCGATCTATTATCTGAATCGAAACTTTCCAAGGTGAATCCCTTCATCCTATGCTGATAATCTTTAAGAGGACAATACAAGTAATTTAGGCACAGGCATGGATTCATTTCTTTGGCACATTTTCTATTGATATATTTTTTTTTTTCATAGACTGACTGATTAACGTCCAAACCCACTAGGACCGCGATAAGACAAAGAAACACCGGGTGACACCAAGTGCCACTATTCGGGTGAGCGTCACCGCAGCTTAAGTCCCAGAAACCTAGTCAACTAGCAGGTTATACTTAGGGTCCCATTTGACAGCCGAATTGGGACTTTCATCTCCCCCTTCCCCACCCCCCCCCCCCCCTCTAGCCAATGGCGTTCCATCTTAGGACGCTCTGCAGTATAATGTTATGTTATCAATGCCTTGCCCTGCACTTACCGTATCGAGGAGGACGCCAAAGAACATGACTGTGAATCGCTGTCTAAATTCACGCTTTGAGATCCAAATGTTCGGCAATGGGAATTGCTGTGGCATGGTGGGTACCGAACTCAAGTACTCTCTGTGGAAATGGTGTAGGGGATTGAACTCATAGTCCAACCACAAGTGGTAGGGAAGGGTGAGGTGAAAGGGGCGGGATGCCATTCAGTCGTTCCACGTCGCTGCCGTCTTGCTGAATTCTAGCGTGGCCTTTAGCCGGGATTATACGCATCACGTCACCAACCTTTGCTATCAGCCCACTGATGGGGTGGGATTGGTAGTTAAGTGTTCGAGTCCTGTCAATATCGATCCACTTTTTTTCCCTATCTGCTGTCAGTCATATTCTGTTATGAGCCCCACTAGTTATGTTCATGTTGTATTCATGGTGTGGAATAAGATGGTTTTGAGTATGAATTTCCGGAATATTTGGAAGCACACAACTAGGTGTATGCGTACATGCACTCGAGTATTCATACACACAAATAATACTACTGCGGATGTTGAACAGGGGTTGTTATAAACACTAAATCGTTGCCTTGTTGCATCACTCATTCAATATGGCCTGGGCATTTTAACCGTGTCAAAATCTTAGTTGTAGAATTTGGAGCATGTTTAGAATGAGGTCATTTGAACCATAATTAGATGCACAAGGAACACACCCGTCGTATGTATGAGACATATCCTGGCTATGCCAACCATTTCTGACCAAAACTGTGTACTGCGAAGTGTGTACTATCTTAAAGTTGCAAGTGATACATGGAATATAATTCATTGGGGTTCTGAATAATGTGAATGGTGGCACACTTGAAAGGGTCAAATCCTGTATCGCCCAGACTGAAAAGACAACAGTGTCTGCAACATTAAAGACACTAGACGAGAATCAGACTTGATAAATATATTGGAGGACAAAGAAAAGATGTACAAAATGGTAATTATTTTGGGATGGAATACATAGAATGGTTAGCAGGACGCTGAGGATCCATAATTGACAGAGGGCAACTCTCGGCCATGAGATGTGATTATACAGATGGTTCAGTGGCTAGGGGCAGAAAGCATGGATGATGTCTCATTGCGAAATCATGAGGCAGTGGGATAACTGAGTAGCGCTCGGTATAATACATTACCACATCCAGTATGCGGGTGAAGGTTGAGGAGGTAACTGCGACGTTACGATGGGTGCAAACAATTTTAGCCAGACATGTTGTCATAGCAGTGTATGCTTATCAGGGTTCAGTCAGCGTTTTGCGTCCTGCAATATCTATGTAAACATTATTGAGTTCTGCATCCTTTCTTTTTTTTTAATTACATCAACAATGTTTTCCGTTTCAGCTAAAACCCTATGGTCCCGACATTCCATATTGCAAGCCGATACCTTTTTTTTTTTCGGTGTGTGTATAGCTCAAAGAAGGTAATAATTGGGGTTGTTAGTTATGTGAGGCTTTTTTTTTTTTTTAATTATAATTATAAATTTACAATTTCAAACTTTAAAATTTTAAAGTTTGTTGTAATTTTTGTTTTCAAACAGCTATTTGTGTTGTAATTATTTATTGTTTCACAATTTTCCTGCACCTTTTACTTCAGCATTCAAGTGTAGTAATTTAAATATTGTCATTTTCGTTTTTTTTTTTTTTTAATATGTTATATCTTTCTTTCTTGAATTTCTGACAGTATGTTAGAAACTGTTAGATGTCGTTTCGCTCATAACATTTTACACAGATAGGATTTTCCTATCTGATCGTTGAATTTCCTAACTTAATCTTAAATCATTTTCTATCTGCTGAGATCTGAATATTTTCCTTGATCTGTGACTTGCTGTTTGATTCGTTTATTAGTTGTAAGTATGTCTACGTATGTTGCCTTTTTTTTTTCATTTCCACCTCCACTCCTTGAGTATCTCTTCTTTTTCTTGGCTTTTCGTTAAAGTTTTACCCAGCCCTACGTCTTTTGTCGTTTCGGTATCTTGTTTGCAGCTTGGTCGACCTTTCCGTTTCCTTTGATCCCTTTGTATGCTGAAATCCTTTTTTTTTCTTAATTTTCCATGTCAAAGATGCCGCACTCAGGTCACTTTCCATCGTTCGTCTCCGTGTTGTTTTTGGGCGCCCCTGTTTTCTCTTTTCCTCTGGTGTCCATGTTAGAGCTGTCTTTTTGACATGGAAAACTGCACTGAAGATTTCACAGGACAGGAAAGCATGGAAAGTCCTCTCTGAAGCCTCATGTGCCACTAGGCAAAACGAGAACTGATATGCTGAAATCCAAGCTGCTGTCACTTTGCAGCCTCCAGCTTTTGGTCTCGTGACCAGCTCCAGTATCTTTCTTCTATGTCTGGTCTGCTGCTTGTCGTGTGACTCTCTACGGCGGCCAGTGAATCTGACAATATGTTTTTTTAGTGGGGAAGGTTTTACCAGCTCCAGGGCTTTTAGTATTGCTGTCACTCAGCTGTACAAATTAACATCTTAGTTGTGAGCTTGTGGTTGTATTTGCTTCTCCATTGTGGGACAATTCCTACACTAGTTTCCCCTCTAACGCTTATTTTTAGAGTTGTCTGTATATAAAACTAGACTATACTGGGTTATTTAGTTTATATGCTCTAGTGTCTTTGATTTTGTATTGATGTCATCTCTGTCTTTTTAGTGATTCTTTGGCTACCTTTTTTTTTTTTTTTTTGTTAAAATTAGTTTCCCGTTTGGAATTTTGGTTATGTACCCGTTGTTTGTTTGCAAGATTCTGTCGAGGCTGCTCATTTCCGATATTTCGCGTGCCGTCCTCCATCTGATAGCCTTTCTTTTGTTTTTCCTGCTTAGGTTTGTGCGCTGTTTTGTTTATGTTTTTTAGCGTATTGTAGACTGGGTGTGTTTCGTCTATAGCTACCTTTAACCACTAATTCAGTCTGAGCCCTTTTTTTTTCTTAGCCTGAGTGGTTGTATTCCAAGACCTAATTCCCGGGCCTCTCTGAGAGTCCTGGTTCCGGTTCCTGCTATTATTTCTAGAGCTCTGCGTTGTATGTTGTCTAGTTTCTTTTGGTATGTCTTCAGTGGTGCCATACACTATACTAGCGTATTCTAGTGTGCCTATTATAAATTCGTTTAAGAAGTTGAACATTGCTGGCGTGCTTGCGCCCCATCCATTTACTGTGAAAACGTTTAGCATAATTATGAGGCCTCTGCTAGATTCTACCAAATCATCTATAAGAGTTTTTCAGCCTAATTTTTTTTATCAAGTACAGCTCCCAGAACAGATTGAGTTTTCCCTGTCTTTTTTTTTTTTTTTTTTTTCATGATGTATATTTATAAATAACGCTTTATACTTCACGCATTTTACTGAGCGTCATCTGCACTGTTTTTGAGGAGTTAATGTGGACGCTGTCTTTGTTCATCGACTGTAAACTTTTAATATTTGCAGTTAAAGTTTCGAGTATAAATTATTTACCCCTAATTTGCTTTGACACAATTTTTTTATAGTTGGTTTGCACTCGTCTCTGCGTATTGTGTTTTATAATGTTACTCATTTTGCACCGTGTCTTCCTTTGGTACCTCTTTCATAAATGCCTCCCAGTTTGTTTTTTCATAAATAAGTCATGGCGTGTTTATTTATGTATCTTTGTCTGGTATGTCCTGGCTCCTAATATTACTGGCAGATGGTCAGAGGTTGTATCTGTAGATTTTTCACAATTTATGCCTGCCTAAATTTGTGTCGTTATGGTTAGATCTATTGCTGTATCTCTTGCAAAGATATTTATCCTTGTCATAGATCCGCCGTTTATGATTGTTAAGTTGTTGAATTCTACAAATGCCTTGATATTTCTTTCAGACTGGTCTTTATGATGTAACCCAAGACATGGCTATTAAAGTATTAAAGTATGGCTATTAAAGTCCGCCCCCCCCCCCCAACCCTCCAACTATTTTATTAGGATCCTCCTTCCAATAATGTCCATGCTGAAGTTATGTTTCGTTTTCTTGCCTGACGATTTGGGTTTTGAATTCAGCTCCAAGCAATCACTGAAGCACACAGGCTGTAACAGATCAATACTTGATTAGCCGGTGAGACCGGCGGTAGTTCATCAACGAGGTTGGAAAATATCTCCCATTGTTAGAGACGTGATGCCCTCATCTAGACCAACTGACATGGACTTATTACCCTAAATCTGCTGCCCCTCGATTTGTTTCTGAGACCAAACACAAAACCTGGGTGTTACTGTAGAGACCAAACGCTGCCCATTCATCATGATAACCCCTCGGCTTGCAATGTTTACCCCATAGGAAAGATTACACCTGTACTTTTGGAACAAAGCACCCTGAAGAAGCTGCAGGATCAGAAGAGCAGTGCTCTCTCTGTTCGTCTGTAGTAGCTTATCTAGGAGACCAGCTACCAGCCAAAACTAGGGGCCAAATATACTATGCCATAACATGCAGTTTCCATGTAGCAATTTTGTTTTCTCTCCACGAAACGGCTAGTCTCTCTTCAGTGTACTCCTCTAACAAAATATATTGACACAATATGGAAAACCACCTTTAGTATACGATGGCAAACAGTCAGCTTTAACAGATGACTGGTATTACGAGCAAATTTATTAGAGTATCTCAGTCACATCTGTCACAATACTTGGACAAACAAACTGTACCAAACTAGTGATGATGTTTGTGTGCATTCTCTATGTATATAATATGAATTCGTGTGTGTGTGTATATATATATATATATATATATATATATATATATATATATATATATAAATGCATGTGTGTGTGTGTGTGTGTGTGTGTGTTTGTGTATGTGCAAGCATGAGTAGATATTAAAATTGTTCTTAATGAAAAAATATGGACACGTTTGTTAGTAACTGATGTCAGTATGACTAGAAAACTAAAGCTGAAATGAACACAGCGAAAGTAAATGGTACTGAACTGAATAGAGCTGAACCTAATATTGCCGTACTGAAAGCAACCGCTCTGAATAAAACCGAACTGAAATGTATAAAATTAAACTGAACTGAACTCAATAGAACTAAACTTGGTCAAAAGAACCCTAATCGATCTGAACTAACCAAATGAACGAGCTGAACCGACCTGTGCAGAAATCGACAGATTTCAAATAAATTTGCGCAAAATGTCACCGAATTGAACACAACTGAACCGAATTGATTGGAACTAAATGAACCCTAATTTCTTGACATCTTACAGCATTTTCAAAAACCATCAGTACAAAAACTAGCAAACACATACATACATACATACCATTTCTGTTGTAGACCTTGTACCTGTTTACCATGCGTGTCTGTGACAAAGTCAAAGTCCATGTAAATGTTCCATTGGTGCGTGCGCAAGACCATTCAAAAAAATGGTTTCGGGTATCACCATCCACTGCCAGTGAAGCTGGGTAGTCTCGTGGTTTGTTATTAAAAATGTTAGCATGCGTTGTATCTTGCTTAGCCATCTCCTTCAGCCCCACGTTGCGACCTGCCAAAGATTGTTATACATGACTCGCCGTTTACCTGGAATAGCGATTGTAGCTATTGATCTCCAGACCATAATGACTGCAGTATATTGCGCAATGATTAACATTAAAAAAATGCATTAATCCGATCTTCCGTTTCAGTTTGTTGTCAGGAAAGCTCTACGCCTAAACACAATCAAAAGCAAAGAACTGTCAATTGATTGGTTGAGCCTTAAGGTATCACTGTGTACAATTTGAACAATTGAACTCATTAAATTACAAAGATTTTAAATGTTAAATTAATGACAATATTATGTTCTTTTTGGTAGCAATGAGTTTCTTCTCTCTCTCTCTCTCTCTCTCTCTCTCTCTCTCTCTCTCTCTCTCTCTCTCTCTCTCTCTCTCTCTCTCTCTCTCTCGCACAGGGATATGCTTGTTGTAAATACAACCGGGGAAGATACATCTAGTGACTAGGATAGAGAATAATGACGAATGCATCCCACATTTTTTTTAAAGGGTACATTCCGACAATATATATCTTAAGTGTCTGCAAGGATGTGTCTGCGTATTGGTAAGTGAAACGTTCGTAATCTGTACTAGGCTGGGCAATTTAACTTCCAGATTTTCGAGGCAAAATATATGAATTTTGATATCTTGGGAGTATCAGATACAATATGGACTGATGCTAAGGAGGGATGTGATTTCTATTATTTTTGGATGTGAACGTCATGGGCGTGTATTAGGACTTCTAGTGAGACGTAATATGAAAAAGTACTTTAGTTGACTCTGGGCTCAAAAAGATGGAATGATACTAATCAAAATTAAAACAAAACCGTTCGATAATCTATATATATATAAATCAATGTTTGTGTGTTTGTTTCACCTCTATAGACTCGGAAACTACTGAACCGATTTAGCTGAAATTTTCAGGATATGTTTGTTGTGATACCGGATTTTGAACTGTCGTGGTTTGAAATTCAACCTGTCACTGTTAGAGATAGGTGACCACAATTAATGCTAAAATATACGCAACTAATATTTATAACTTTAGTGATTTCTAATTATAGCCACGTTAGTTATTGCGCATGCGCCGTATTTACAATTCGCCGGCGAGTTACGTTCAGCCAACGCCTTTTTAATACTAATACATAGAGTAGGTCGTGGTACAGCAAACAAGACTATCTCTATATTTGCGACAATAACCATATTAAACACGATTTCTGGTTTTTTTTCTTTAAACAACCTTCGATGGGGGGGGGGGGGGGGGGGGGGGAATAATCAAGTACTATCTCGACGTCGGCGCATATAGTGACTGCGACATTGACTTCATTAACCGTGTTAGACACGTGCGATTTCTATTTCATTAAAATATCTGGAGTATCTGTCTACGAGAAAACAATTGCCTGCGGTTTTGAATTGTGTTTTAATCGCGACACAGTAGTATGGACTCACATGTCTAATAGTTGAGTTCTCTTTTCGTTGTTCTGATTAAGTGGCTGCTTGGTCGAATGGTTAGAACACTGGGTTCATGTGCGGTAGACTTGGGTTCGAATCCGAAGTCGTTACATTTTTTTTTTGCCCCGGACTAAAATAATATTCTCATCTGCTCTGCCGTGGTGACAGCACTAGCCATGTTGCCCTAATATTTTAAAAAAAAAAAAAAAAAAAAAAAAAAGTAAATGGGTAAACCATTTGATAATTAAATTTGACCATTTCACATACTTATGATTGCATTGTTAAACTTTCCGATTGCATGGTTACGCTGAAATTTTATAGATTTTCATTTAGATTTAGTTATTTCATCTGTGTTGGAATTTTAAGCTGTGCTGTTTACAATGGCGTTCATTTCCTAATTATGGTGTTTTTTTCATGTGTTCGTTTGCTTTTCAAGTGTTTTTTTTTTCTCCCAACTACTTCAATGAGGGAAAGAGTTGTCGGTAAATTTGGGGGGATGGGGGCGGGGCAAACTATTAACTGAGAGAGCTTTAAGTCACAGTAACTGCTTTACCCAATTAAAGCAGCAGCAGCAGTAATAGTTGTTACACCAGGGCTGTTACACCATAGTGCTCTCATGTGAAGACCGCCAGTGACGGCAAGTGAAATTATACATCCTAACCTGACCAGTCTGTGGCGAAAGCACTAGCCATGCGGAACCAAATCTTCTGGCTCACGACTCTCTGTCTACTCCGATGGTAACACAGATAGCAGTGACATTATTTTAGTAGTTGTACTGGTACTTGAAGGATGATGTGGTAAATATTACACTAGCCCTATTCACTACCTTTTACAATTCCTGCTCCCTTTTTTAGTCCAGATGGACAGGGATGTCAATGTCAGTTACAGCAACAACAAAATATCGCCAGTTAGTGATTTTCAAATCCTTCGAAGAGGGAGAGAGCAGTAGTCGGTGGAAGAGGGGAGGGGGGGGGATAATGACATAATTTTGATAAGGGGGAGGGTAGTAGGTGGATTTAGTTGGGGGTGGTAGGTTTGGGATCAAAGACTATCTCTATATCTGAGCAGACAATGATTGTATTAGACACGTGAGATTTCTATTTTCTTTCATTTCCATTTAGCCAAACTATGCCACAGCAACGCGTGGCCGGGTACAGCTAGTGCCATATAAAAGATGTATTCACCAACAACGGACTATAATAATGAACATGCGAGGGAATATTACAAAGTCCTACAACAAACACTAAGAGTGGTACAATTATAAGAGATCTTTGTAGTCATGGAAGACATGAATGCATAGGTAGAAAAAAATGAAACGTAAACAGACTGTAGGGCAATATGGTATTGGAACTAGACATGAAAGTTGTAAGTTGAGTTTAGTTGAGTTGATTCAAAAACCGACATCATAGCACTTGGGGCATTTCCATAACCACTCCGTCCCTATCTTTAGCAGCAAATGAAGAGTTCCAATACTAATGGTGCCAGCAGTATTAAGATTAACATCCGTCTTGCCTTTCCTCTGAGCCTCGAGCATCTGCCGGAACCTCTCGTCAGTCCCCCCTGCATCAATCTCACCAGACTGTGGTGAGCCATTTGCTCCTCATAACTGTACACGCTCTCCCACAAGCCACTAACCACGTTTGCTTTAATGTTCCAACACACTGTCGTGACCCGGTGAAAAAATCCAGACAATACGCATCACCTGTGTCCACCGCAGTGAAGCATGCAACTCTGCATGAAGCATGCCTGTCCTGATCTTCCTCAGCATGCTTTCTGAATCAGTTACATTCACGATGTATGTGTGTCTTGTTCTCTAACCAGCAAAAAGCTACAGTAACCGCCTTCAACTTCAATCTTAAGCTGGATGTTGTGGTATCATATGCTAGGCTCTCCTGCACCAAACGTCGACCATTAACTTGTGTTAAGAAACCCTAAACGCTTCTTTTGCCTCTTGACACTGACCCGTCTGTGTAGATGATCAAATCCTCTGAGCGAGCATTATCTTGAAATAATTGCTAAATGTCCACCTCCGTGGCACCTACTGGCCAGTCTCTGCATTCCCGGCTCTGTGTGATTATGACCCAACGCAAGTCTGACTGTTCAGGTGGCACTTTGACCCACTCCTTTCCTTGCCCAATGTTCTCAAGGATGCAAACCTGTCTGATTGTGTCTTCTGCCTAAGCCATCAATGAATTCCCTCTTATCTGTCTCTGACCCTTAACTGCATTCAGAGCTTAGTGCAACAGGTGGTCAATGTCTCAGTTACCTTGAGATATGAGGTCACATGCAGCACCTTATGCCTACCTGCAACAGTCGGCAAACTAAGGATGTATCGCAAACACCCCACTGGGGTGCCTCTGGTGCAACCCAGGAAGAAGTGATAGGTTGATACAACTTTGTGAGGAGAACCAGCACATTATTCCTAGTAGGCTTTTTCAACATTCACCTAGGAAACTGAATACATAGAAAATTCCTAGAGATAGAAAGCGAAAACAAACTAATAATATTATGATTAAAAAAAGAAAAAAAAAACTGTGTTATGAATTTAAAATCATATCCTGGGCTCGACGTAAAACAGATCACAACACCGTATTTTTAAAAAAATATTGAACATTAGAATTAAAAATTATGTTTAAAAGGCATCAATGGAATCTAAGATTGATATATAAACATTGAACCAGCCAGATATAAGTCAAATTTATGTAGTGGAAGTAAAAAATACAAATGACAAACTAATATTTGAAAGCATGCAAAAATATCGGCATGCATACCCACAAGAAAAATTTGTACAAAGTGGGCGTGTTTGAAAACTAGTATATAAGAAGCAAATGCCAACTAACCACCTAAAGAAAGAAAGCAAAATCAGGTACTGATGACTGAAGAAATTATGAATCAGATAATTCAAAGAAAGAAAGCACGAAACACTACTGAGTATGCTATAACCAACAAAGAAATACATAACAACGACAGAGTTGCTAAAGAGACATGGATTCACTTTCTCTTTCGATCTAGATATGAGGATTTTGCTTTCCTCTGCAAAACTATCGGCCAGCAGGTTTGCTGCTTGTTTACTGGTGAAAGTGTTCCCACCATCTTCAATGACAATGTTGTCACAGCTGTTATGATTCTGCTTTTGTAGACTCTTTACTAGAAGCCATAGCTTTTTATTGTCTTTCTCCATGTTGCGAGCTGCAGTCTTTTCCTTCCATCTTGTCCGGACGCATGCGAGATTTTTTCTTCTATAAATAGCCTGATGTTTTAAGTGTTTAGTTATGCTGGGATCAGGGGGTACTTATTCCATTTGTATTCTTGCTTCTGTGCTTGTTTGGTGCAGCTGTTGCAATTATTGTGTCCGGAAGGGGTCACAGTTTTGACTTCGACCTCAGGGAATTGATTTCTGTGCTCCTTCGAGTGTGATACTAGTAATATTTGTGGTGTTTTTTTTTTCTAACCTCATTAATGAGAAAGGGCTCTGAAAGATTCTTTTCTGTTAAATAAATATCAGATAACACTAACAATAGCCCTAAGCCCCCTATAATATAGGACTATCTTTAAAATTCTCTGGGAATTCCCTACGAAATCTCGAACCCTCGAGATGGAGTGAAAAAGAGGAAAAGAACCAGTTATGTTTATTTTGTTACAACAGTTTGCCATTAACTGTATTTAGAATGTATTCATGCGATATATTTACTCATGTGGTACACAGCGAGTTTAAAACATGCTGTACAGTCCCACATGTGGCACACAGAGTAAAAAAATGCAGTATATTTACACCTGAGGCATAAAAAGGAGAGATTTAAAGCATGAAGTATATTTACTCATGTTGTATACATAGAGTGCAAATATGCGGTATATTTACCAGTGTGTTCCATGGAGAGATTAATTATGCATTATATTCATCCAGTTGGTATACGGAGAGTTAAAACATGCAGTATATGTACACCTAAGACACACACATAGTTAAAACATGATGTGAGACACAGAGCTAAAATATGCAGTATATTTACTGCTATGATACAGAAAGTGCCAAATTATGCAGTATATTTACCGCCATGATGTATAGAGTTCTGAAACAAGCATACATTTAGCTCTGTGATGAAACGAGTGCTAAAACATGCAGCTCATTTATCCAAGTGGTACAAACAGAGTTGAAACATGCAGTATATTTACCACCGCTGACATAGACCGAGCACAGTCTGGTAACGACTGCACCTTTCAAAGTCACTGTGTCGATTTCTTTGTAGGTCTTACAGTGCACGTCCAGGGTTTTGCTGTCCACAGCCACTTTCTTCATGTCGCTACAGCTGACGTCGGTTTTTCTGTTGGAGAACGTCACTGTCAGATCCTCAAGTGCAGCTGATCCTAGAGGGACACGTATAACGTGGGCATTAAAGTCAGTTAATAATTTATCTCAAATATAAAGATAAACGGATTCATACATACATTAAACATGTACATCTCAGTTATATGCTACCAGTGCCAGCCATGGTCCCTAAAGACTGTTCAGAACCACCACTTGATATGCACCTAAATGAGATGTTTGAGAAAGGCCAGATGAGAGCCCATAAGGTATACAGTCATCAATGAGTTCATGAGAGAAACATTCTGCATACAACCATTGGTGAACTTCAAGCACAAATACCTCCCCCCCCCCCCCCCTCCCGAGGAGAACGAAAGAATTAAGATGTCATAACTTATATGTTAAAGACATAATAGGGGATTGATATAAAAAGACGATGAAGGAAAAGGCATAGAGTTGGGAAGGTGGGGAGTGGGAGAGAAAACATACACAAAGTCTAGAAATGTATCACGGTCTGGTTTGCCAGAAAAAAAAGTGAATCATGACCATAAGTCTTTTTGTGGAACAGCTGTAAAAATAAATTTTAATAGTGTGGCTGTAAAGATTAATGATAACAGTGTTTCTCTACCACTTCCTAGGGACGGCGGAATTAGGCTCCATTAAAATCTCAGCTGCCGCTCGTTTTGTCGTGCTGTATCTGTACACATCCTATAGGCCCCAATGTCTAGCCAATTATGCCGTTGCCCTTACAGTGCTAATGTTAGACATTCTCGATCCCCAATTCATCTGTTTCCTGTTTCAGTGCTTCTTTAGTTTTTTCTGTCTATTCCTGATGATGATGTTGCTGGTCATGACAGTCATCTTCCCTTTCGTATAAGAAAAGATAAAGAAAAAGCAGCGGAAATAGACAGGGCAGCCAGAGTCACCGTCTACATCCTTACAGAAGCACAAAAAAAAAGTTTTACTGCTTCAAGAGGCTGGGCACTCATAAAAAAATACAATGTTAAAAGTCTATCATGGAAAAACAAAAATGTTTCTGTAAGTGGCAAAAGATAAGAAGACTAGATCAGCTATAGAAAAGCTAGAAGAGACAGCAAAATGAAAGTAAAAGCGGCAAAATCAGAATTTTGAGCAGACTGTGGAGATCAAGAAACGAAACTTTGCACTTAGTCAACAAAAATGTTTTACAGAAGTGTCAAAACAATGATACTAAGAAAAGACAAATTTAACAAGTCCACTATTATTTACAGCAAGAGTAAAAAGAAAAACCACTCACCAGCACTCAAGATATGAAAAATAAATGGACATAATATTTTAGAGAGCTGTTAAACTGTAGAACAACAGATGAAGGACCAGACTAAAATAAATCAGTAAATAACCAAACAAAGATACTCGAATTTGAAGTTGAAACTACCCTCAAACAAAGTAAACAGAACAAGACAGCGGGAATAGATGGTGTTACATCAGAAATGCTTGTACGTAAGACAACAGCAACAGCGTGTTTGATCAGAATCTTTTACATAACTTGGGAGAAACGGAAGGTTCCAAGTGACTGGCACAAAGTTAATAATTTCTCCATTTGAAAATAGAAGGGGACACGCAGGAGTGTAAAAGATAACGAGCATCTCCAACTTGAGCCATATTGAAAAAAAAGAAGAAAATGCTTACAAAAATATTAAAATTTAGAATTTGACCAGTGCTAGAGAGCAAGTTAAGTAAGAGACAGTTGTGTTTCAGGAAGGGAAAGAGCTGTACAGTTGCACTATTTTCTTTAGGGAAGATATGCGATCAGTTGCTGCTGTTGTTGCTTTGTAGGTGGCAAAAGCGTTTTAATATCCACTACGCCCAGTGACTTGTGCTAATCAAGACGAGTCAAGTAACACTGCAACGTTTGTTGACATAGTCAGGCTTTGTCACGCGGTGATAACTCTGCGTTTTCCAAGACATGTTGTATCTGTGTATCTAAATCTCATAGATTATCGTTTACTGTGTCGGGTTGCCTATATTAGTTTGTGGAACATAGACTTCTTTATGTGCAAGTAGATTAACATAATTTTCTTCACCATGGTTAAAAAACCAAGACGATTTCATCACGTTTAGTTTTGGAGAAAATTAAGCCCCGAGAAAACCGCCGCGACACAAAATCTGTTCCCTTGTTGGACGGAACGTTTCTTCTGGACGAGCTCTTTGAGACTGTTCTTATAACGACATATACGTCTCTTCTGATCAGGCATATGGGTAACCTTAAATACACTGTGGCAGCATTCACAGAGTGTACGAATGAGGTCTTGTGATGTGTTTTTATTGATTTCTTTGGAGGTGTTGGGTTAGCATGGCATAAAAAGCGCAGTATTTCACTGTGTCACCTAAGTTTATCAGACATGTTATTGCTTGGGGACGTACACCACTCCTTTCTCGTCTAGAAATATTTGGCTGCGTAGTCTGAGAGTCTTAGTTGCTCCAGTATTTCCTGCCGGAGGTCGAACAGCATATAACCGTCCAGGTTAGCCGTCGAGTCTCTAAAGCCTTCTTGGACGTTGGAAACGCGGCCAGAATCCATCTCTTTGGTCAAATAGGTAATCTGTAAGAAGCCATAGGGCTTTTCGAAAATTATAAGATAATGCGCGTTCACACAGATGGTGTTCTGTTCTTTTTTTTTTTCCTAAACACGATTTACACCTGCACACATCACCTGCACCTGGTAAGCCCCTGCCCACTGCTGCCCATTAAAACCCTCGGCTCTTCTGCATAGCCCGCCCCACCATTCACAGACACATAACCACAACAGTGCCCTATCTGACCCTTGACCCCGAATTACATACACGAGCCCACCTCCTAGTTTCGGGCAGTGCCATGTTTTTTTCCTTTATTGATGTCAAAGGCGGTGCATAAAGAATAAAGAAGCATCGCCCTAAAAACTGTATGGAGTTCCTAAATATATACTACTTATGTGTGTAGCCAAGCCACCAAAGTATGCATCTCTTTGCCTTACCTATTTTTTGTTATCAACTTTGCCAGTTGTCATCAAATTCTCTCTCTCTCTCTCTCTCTCTCTCTCTCTCTCTCTCTCTCTCTCTCTCTCTGTCCGTCCATCTATATGTGTGTGTCTGTGTGAGTCTCTGCGTGTGTGAGTGTGTGTATGTCTGTTGTGCCCAAATTGTGACCCTTTTAAAAAAAAGTTCGCTCGTTTGTTCTATCTATCGATCTGTCTTGTCTGATATAAGCGTCACCACTACAATAGCCCTTCTCTGAGAGAAAGTAAAGGGGTGGGATGAGGATTAGCGCCGGAGGGGGAAGGGGGGGGGAAATTGCAGATATAAAGAATTCCTTTTGAAATATTCCAAAGACGTTCAGCATAGTCCTTAACCATGTGTAGAAATTACATTCAAACGTATTTATTTATACATCGCAAATTAATTCCCCAATAAATTTAATGAGTCATATTATATTTATATAAATAATCATTATTTTGTTATACTCTATGAAGTCTTACATTTTTTAAGGCTTCAACAATTAACTGTGAAAAGAAAGCTGTGGGGTACTCTTTTCTCGATGTTTGTGTCTGCGCCCCAAAACAACGCCAGTAAGTAACATTATGGCAGAAGGCATGGTACCAGGAAGGAGGATGGCAGGGCACAGGATATAAATGACTCCTTGAGTATGAAAGTACATGAGGCGGAAGAGCTGGCGAGAGGCCGAGTTTCTTTCAGACAGACCGTGATGCGGGCGACGTTCTGCAAAGGACCTGCTACATGATGGTGATGATGAGTAAGTAAAAAGAAAAGGTCCCTTTATAAGCCGTTGGCGCATCTGGCATATGGGATGAGCACCCAATAATTTTTTTTTGGTCAAACCATGATTTGATTTGATTTGATTTGATTCAAAAACCGACATCACAGCACTCCGGGGCATTCCCATAAGCGCTCCATCCCCATCTTCAGCAGCCAGTGAAGGGTTCCGATACTAATGGTGCCAGTAGGTTTCTGATTAAACGTCCGTCTTGCCTTTCCCCTGAGCCTTGAGCTTCTGCCAGAACCTCTCGTCGACCCCAACTGCATCAATCTCACCAGACTGTTGTGATCTATCTGCTCCTCTCCATTGTTAGGCCAGTCAGCAAGAGGTGGGTAATGTGGTCAGCATTACCCGGGCTGTCTTTACTTCCCTAGAACATACATACTGTTTCTACCGGCAGGCCTTGATATAAACTAAACGGTTCATAAGCAAGCTCTTTTATAAAAATCATGGATGCTTCTTATTGTTTTCTATCCTTTGCTATTGCGTGCAGCTCACCTCAAGTTCTCCCATCACTTCACAATCTCCATTTGTATGTGTTTGCCTTTATTTATACGTCCGTGTTGGTTCCAGTACAAACACACTAAAGTTATATCGTTCTCACGTTTTCTCAACGCGCATTCTATCCAACGACAGGGTCTTTTCTTCACCTCTTAGTCCACTAGATCTTGTTCAATTCTTTCGCAAAAACGTAACATCAGTGCATCAGTATCATGCGATTTATTTCCCCATATTCTAAGCAGGCACCAGTTAATGAATAGTAATTGTTTTAATTTTCCCCCTTGTTTCCCCTAAATACAGCAGTACTGATTTGAAGTCAGCATTAGCTCAATGTAAGCTTCAATTTCTCCGTCCACCCCTTTTGTCTTGTCTTGTCTTGTCTTGTCCACAATTGCCTAACAGCGTAGTGGGGAGTCGCAGTTTTCTATCCTGGGCCAGGTGTGTTGCCTCAGGATCTCTGATATATTGTCTATCCATCGTACTCTCGGTCTGCTTCTTGCTCTGGGGCAGTAGTGCTGTTCGTTGTATGCTCGTAGAGGCAGTTGGTCGGTTTGCATTCGCATCAAGTGGCCAAACCACTCAATTTGTTGCTTCTTTATGTATTGCAGGCATGGTGTGGTTCCTACAATTGCTCTAATGTTCTCGTTTCGAACTCTGTCTCTCCTTGTAAGCCTTACGTAAGCATCTCATTTCGCACGTCGTGATCTTTTTCTCCTGTGCTCTTGTTAGGGACCAGGTTTGGCATTGGTAGCAGAGGGTTGGTATAAACATGCAATTTATCAGTTGTCGTTTTAGTGCCATTGTGATGCTAGGGTGTTTTAGCAGTGGGGAGAGTTGGTAAATTACTGCGTTCGCCTTTTGACATCTTGCCTCAAGTTCCCTATCAATTCTTCCATCATCTGTGAAGATGCTCCCCAAGTATTTAAATTGCTGCACTTGTTTGAGTTGTTCGTTGTTAACTTGAATAGTTAGTATATTGGGTGTTCTACTTATTTTCAGAATTTCTGTTTTGGTGATGCTGATCTTCATGTTATATTCGTTGCAGACTGTGTGTAGCGCATTTACGTGGATTTGAAGTTCTTTTTCGTTTTCATGTATTCGTTTTCATGTATTATGCTTTGGTCGTCTGCGAAAAGTATTTCGTTCAGTTGGGGATGTACTTCTTCAGGATCGGCGTGTATGTTTTCATTATAATGATCTCTTTCAACTAACTCTGTCTCACTGCTTGGTGTAGTTAACAGTTCGCTTATCATTACATGGTTTGCTGCTGTTGTTATTCTGTCCATGTATATATTGAATAGTAGCGGTGATAGTACACAACCCTGTCTTACTCCTGTTCTTAGTATGAATTCGTCTGTCACACCAACATTTGTTCTAACTACGCTTGAGTTTGTTTGGTACAGAGATCTGATGTTGACTAGTAGCTGACCTTGTACCCATTGTCGTTCAATATATTCCATAGTTTGTTCCTGTCTACCCTGTCAAAGGCTTTTTCTTGGTCAATGAATGCTATATTGAGTTGTTTGTTATATTCTATTGCCTTTTCACAAAGTTGTCTTAGCGTGAAAAGGGCATCTGTGCAACTTTTTCCTTTCCTAAATCCAAACTGAGCTTTACTCAGCTGTGTCTCTACAATATGTTTTGTTCTTGTCTCAAGTACTTTTGAATATAGCTTCCCTACGTGGCTCAATAAAGAAATTCCTCTGTATGTGTCACACTCTCTTTTATTGCCCTTGTTTTTCCAAATTGTTTGTCACACCCCTTTTACCCCGTAGATTTCTCGGTGCTAAGAAAGCTCCTCTTGCCTTTTAAATTCGTTTACTTATGTACGACTTTATGTCAATCCATGTTTAACCTGTAGTTATAACAGGCACTCCTACTCCGATCCCAATCCCACCGAACCACGCCCCCCCCCCCCCTAAAAAAATTATCGAAGAAAACAACGGAAAGGGGGGGGGGGGGGTGATGGGGTGAGGGGCTACAAAAATGATTTCTGCCTACCCTGATTTTGGACACAGACTCTGAGCCAGGTGAAGAAAATAGACTGCAACACGATGGTCACCGTGTCAGGGGCCGAAGGAGCAACACACGTGCTTTCGTTGCCATCTGTCAGAACTGCGTCGTTGATCGTTTTGTTAGTCACGTCGGCTGTGGAGAAACAAGTCGTAATACATTTAATAAAGGCTATTCTCAATAAACATTATGTTTTAAGACCGGTAAATTGAATGGAGTTATTATCAATATTCCTGTGTATTTTTCCAAAAGCTCTGCTACACACCCGCATAGAGCATTTTACTTTTTGTTCTTCTTGTTCTTCTTCTTGTTCTTCATCTTCTTCTTCTTCTTTATCTTCTTCTTCTTCTTTATCTTCTTCTTCTTCTTCTTCTTCTTCTTCTTCTTCTTCTTTCTTCTTCTTCTTCTTCTTCTTCTTCTTCTTCTTCTTCTTCTTTTTCTTTTTCTTCTTTTTCTTTTTCTTTTTCTTTTTCTTCTTCTTATTCTTCTTCTTCTTCTTCTTCTTCTTCTTCTTCTTCTTCTTCTTCTTCTTCTTCTTCTTCTTCTTCTTCTTCTTCTTCTTCTTCTTCTTCTTCTTCTTCTTCTTCTTCTTCTTCTTCTTCTTCTTCTTCTTCTTCTTCTTCTTCTTCTTCTTTCTTCTTCTTCTTCTTCTTCTTCTTCTTCTTCTTCTCTTCTTCTTCTTTTCTTCTTCTTCTTCTTCTTCTTCTTCTTCTTCTTCTTCTTCTTCTTCTTCTTCTTCTTCTTCTTCTTCTTCTTCTTCTTCTTCTTCTTCTTCTTCTTCTTCTTCTTCTTCTTCTTCTTCTTCTTCTTCTTCTTCTTCTTCTTCTTCTTCTTCTTCTTCTTCTTCTTCTTATTTCTTCTTCTTCTTCTTCTTTTTTCTTCTTCTTCTTCTTCTTCTTCTTCTTCTTCTTCTTCTTCTTCTTCTTCTTCTTCTTCTCTTCTTCTTCTTCTTCTTCTTCTTCTTCTTCTTCTTCTTCTTCTTCTTCTTCTTCCTCACTTCATCTTTTACCTCTGCGGGTGTCGATGGCTATTCAAAGTTCTGCTTTTTGCTTTTCTGTCAGCCTCGACCATAGACACAAAGTACTACTGTAACGTTTCTCTGATATTTTGGTCTGCCTCTTGCTCCACGTCCTTTTCCTCTATTGGTGTATGCCTTTTGTGGTATTTGCGCCACAAGGCATTTTATCAAAGCAGTCAAACTATCTGATTTGCTATCTATGTATTTAAATTTGGACTGCGTCAGTGTCGACTTTTTCCCTTATGACCTCATTTTGTTTTTATCTCAACTGGTCACGCCTGAACCCCTTCACCTAGTTTCATTTATGTGTGATGATATAAAATAGGGGTGCTTTAGTTCCACACTGCCAATGAACGAACCGCCAATGATATTGATAATAATTCTGTGTATGTTACTTCCAGCTTGACACAGCAGTTTGTTTCACTGACAATAGCGTTTACTCCAAAATTGCTTCAAATGGATGGTACTTTCAAAAAGTGTTAAGTATTTTGGATACATCTTATCAGTTCCTTGTTCACCCTGTAAATGCTGATCACTGATTTCTGAGTGCTTATGTATGGGTGATATGTGTGGAAAAGGAGGCGAAAAGAAAAAGTAATTCTTGATGTCCAACAACCTGTTTGTAATGCATTTGCAGGATGTGATTGTGGAGTTCCCGACCTAACCTCTGTATCGTGAGCTTAGAGATTTCCCTGGCTAGTGCATCTACCATACCCAGCATCACAACATTTATTGAACGGTAACATCCAGATAGGTAGTTCGGCGTCCGTGGCTAAGGCGTTGCGAGTCCGACTCGTAAGCCAGCATACCGAGATTGAAACCTGCGTGGGCTGCGTGGATTTTTATCGTGGTATTGGACGTCGCAGGTCGACCCAGCCTAAAATGGGTACGAGGATGGGCTGTCCTGGGAAAGTAAAGACAGCCGGCGTAATGCTGACCACATTACCCACAGAGTGCTGACGGTCTGTAAAAATATGGGACGCTCTGCCCATATGCCCGATGCGCCGAAAGGCGTGAAAAGGGAACTTTACTTTTTTTTTTTACTTTACCTTCATTCTCGTGTGGACTGTGGTCACGTTGTACGCTAGGTTCTTTTTTTCTTCTTTTTTTTTTAATAGTCTTTATTCACTTTTCCAATAAAATCCAACACACCCATCCAGCATCTGACTACAGACCCATATATGTGTGTGTGTGTGTGTGTGTGTGTGTGTGTGTGTGTGTCTGTATGTGTACATATTTATATAATTATATTTAAAATGATGTCATCCGGGCGCGAGTTTTCACTGGTGAGTTTTTACACTGCTGAATCCAATGAATTAATTCCCGGCACCTTCGGTCCAAGGTAACAATCAGTCTGTGCGATTCTGTTTTGCTGGTCGTCACAGTAACCAGTTCCTCACCACGTGCTGTCTTGTCAATGGCATAATCAGGTCTGGGAGTGACTTCTGCCTGTGCCCTCCAACAACAACCTCTTTTAAGCACTTGTCCCTTACTTTCCCCAAAGGCCCATGCAGAAGGTGTTCCCTGTTTGTCGCAACTTTAACGTACATTTCTTCTTCTTCTTCTTCTTCTTCTTCTTCACTTCCTTTTTTACCGCTGTGGGTGTCGAGGAAGATGAAAGGTTCTGTTTCTGGCTCTTCTGGCCGCCTCGACCATAGGCACATCGTACTGTTGTAGAGCTTCTCTAATGTTATCCTTTCATATTGTTCTTGGTCTACCTCTTGCTCTACGACCTTCTTCTCTTTCCATGTATGCTTTGTATGGTATGGTGTCACAAGGCATTCTCTCTAAGTGGGCAAACCATTTCACTTGCTGTCTTTGTATGTAATTTAGAATTGGTTCTGTGCCGACTTTTTCTCTTATGATCTAATTCCTGATCTTATCTCTTATGGTCACTCCTACTGCCCTTCTCAGACATCTTATGTCCATGGTTACTAATTTTCTTTTATGGTTTGTTGTGAGTGACCATGTCTGGCACTGGTAGCACAGAGTTGGAATAAATATGCTTTGAATAAGATGTCTCTTTGTGCTGATTGGGATGGTCTTATGCTGTAAGAGGGAGCTAACTGTCCCAATACTTGGTTTGCTTTACTGCATCTAATGTTTATTTCTTTATCCAATTTCCCATCTTCGGTAAATGTAGTTCCCAGATATTTAAACTCAGAAGCCTGTTTAATGCCTTTGTTCTCTATTGCTATGTTTAGATCTGTCTTCTTTTTTCCTATTGACATTACTTCTGTCTTTTCAGTGTTGATTCTATTATTTGTTTTACATTCTTCATTCATGGATGTTAGATGTTGTTGCAATTTTATGGCTGTATCTGCTATCAAGGCCTGGTCATCTGCAAAGAGTAATTCGTTGATCTTACTAACATTTGCATTCATGGAACGTACATTTTCGCCTATCAAATCTGGTATCTTTCATGTACTGATAGCAATGCAAGAATGTGACAAATGCACACAATTGGCGTGTCTTGTATGCATCCCAAAATTACTCGCATGGCGGCATTTTGTATGCGTCCCAGCTTCTATTCTTTTTGTGAGATTATGTTAGCATTCTCAAACCATTCCCCATAACCGAAGTGGTTCAGATCTCCGTGAGCCTATGTGAAAGGCAGTCTGTAGTTCATACATGACTGCAGCAAACCAACTGATGATTCAGGTATTTACCTTTATATGTCATACATTTCATTGATGTGTGCAATAAAAATTAATATCTAAGTCTGTTATATTCATCTTCTACGTGCAGTGCCGCTGCCACTAATTCATATTTATGTTGAAACCAATCATATACATTGTTATAACGCGTTTCTCTATCTTGTTCGGTAACTTTGTATTTCTCTCGACAGAGTCTACTTGTTTCAAAGTAATTTTGTATCATATCTGCCGCTATGTTTCCAAGAATCTTACCGAATGTATTCTTTTCAGTTTCGTCTGATCTTTATTTGGCTTCGTGTATTTAATCGTGTAACTATGCAGCCAATTAATTGGAACAGACGCTGTTGCAATACTGTTGTTGAAATACGATACCATTTTCCCAACTTCCTCATCACTTACATTTCTCATATGACTATGCCTAACTCCATCTGGCCATCATTTGGCTTGGAAGTGGTATGAGGTAACTATGTAGCCAGTCTATTGGAACTGGTGTTGTTGCTGAAACACGACGATTGCCCTTAGTTCCTGAGCACTGAAACTTATGCGTTTGCACCGTCTCTTTTTTCCCTTTAGAATATGCTTTATATTGTAGACTTGTTTGATGTTCTCACACAACTCTGACTATTCTAGTATGATCATTAGCAAAACCACTTCTGTTGGTTCTGTTATTCTTACCTGTCTGCTATTTATTCTCTAAAAAAAAGCCACCCCTTCTCTTGCGTGTATGCGATCTCGTTCAGTTGCCTACACAACTGACATTAATAATAGTTTGTGCAACTGAAATAGTAAATGAAGTCAACTGAAGGGTATAACAGGCAATGACTGTTTCTCTAAAGGCCAAGGACGAATAATAATAAAAGTGATGACATCTTAGATGATCTGAACATCTAAGAGAACTAGCACATAACAGCATCCTCTCCTGAAAGCTGGGGATTTTGGCCATATAAAACGCATAGTACCCTGGATAAAAACTGGTGATGTACGGAACAGTTTCCAGAAAAAGAGGCAGAGGTGGATCTTCGCAATGCAAAATAAATTGGCTATAAAAGCCCGTGGGGCAGGATAAATCGCTAGAGACAGAGCTACTTTCGTGTGTGCGGTGAGGAGAGCGACATTCTTTACGAATTCTTCTGACTGATGACTTGTCAGTATGTACAGGAGTAAGATCACACAGTATGTATATGAGTATAAGTAATCAAGACTCCACTGAACTACATACAGTATTGGCATTCGGGACCGAACCATCCAGCCAGACATGTGAAAGGGTATATACACTGGCCGTTCTTGTCACATGTGTTGTTGAAACATCGACATTTGTAGTTACACCGAGATCCAAACCAGCCAGCAGGACAGCCTAGGTTCAGGTAATAACATAAAATACAAGAGCGAGATAAATCTGCAGAGTGAAACATTTAACGAGGCAGTTTTATTGTTGAAAACATAGTGAGGCACAATATCATCATTAGTCACTATGTGAAGACGTCTAAAATGGCATACAATTAATGGGAAGGGTGGCTGAGGCTTCTTGGCGCTTGTCGTGATCGTATAGCTAACTGCAAAACGAATAAGGGTAAGTTTCCTAGTAACACATAATGTAAATTAAATCCAACAAGTGAATCACCTCAGATAGTACATTTTAGCAAGCAGCATCAGTTCAAACATCAATTCCTTCATTATATGTGGCAATAGATTTGAATCCTCACTTTCAAACACTTTTCTACCAAATGCTGAAACTACGTTTGCAAATCTCAGCCGCTGATTGTAAGATCTATTCTGGTAGGAAGCCGAATCCTTTGTCAATGCGTTTAATGTTCTGTCTTCTGGTTTAAGTTTTCATTTACCGGTATTTCTTCTAACAAAGTTTTCTCTTTCTGTGCACACAGGGAAAACAAAATCTTACTTTTTCTGCTTTGACTACACGAAGGCATTTGACTTTGTGAAACACGAAGAAATACTCTGACTATCCGAAAAGCTAATCTTTGATGGAAAAGAGTTATGAATTATAAAGAAAATTTACTGGCAGAAACCAACAGTTATAAGAATTAATAACCAGTTAGGAATATATAAGAGTATAAATCGGGGAGTACTACATGGGTATGTACTATTAACTGATTTGTTTTCATTATACTGTGAATATATAATGAAATATATGATGGATATGCCAGCATATTGAAATATATGATGGATATGCCAGAAGTTGTGGCTTGTGGTCATAACATGAACAATATGCGTTTTACAGATGCCGACGTCTTGATAGCGACAAGTCAGAAAAAACTGCAGGCATTGATATATACGATGGTGGTAGAAAGTGATAAAATGGACCTCAGAATGAGCAATGGAAAGACAGAGGTAATAGTGGTTTCCCAAAAAAGGAATAGTGCTTAAAAGTACAATCAAAGTCAAGAGCGTTATGTAGGACAAGTATAGAAATTCAATTATCCAGGCACATCAGATGGAAGATGTATCACAGAGGTAAAGAACAAAATAGGACACGCCAAAACTGCCATTTATAAACGAAGAACATTTTATGCAATAAATTCATGTCATATCGAGGTTAGGGAAAGAAGTTTCGCATGCTATAGATGGCCAGTTTTAACACACGACTGTGAATCCTGGAAAATTATTAAACAAGCCGAACAATATCTTAAGCCTCGGAGATGAGGTTTTATAAAAATAATTTGAGGAACTGTTTGGCCAGCTAAGAAGAGCAACCTATAATGTTTTGAAATAAGCGAGTGCTCGGAGACAACGTATAACAAGTCCAAGTCCAAGTCCTTTTGAGAAAACAAAAAAATGAAAAGCTCGACCACGTTCTGACTGCTGCTAGTTAGACGAGGCTGCTAGCAGTCTCCGCCTATATTTGTGGTCTGGGTTATTTGCGTCACTTTCGTGACTGAATTCTAGTGTCTGTGCCATTTCTGGGCTTGATACTTCCATCCGAGTCAGACCGCTCGTCCTCCACTTTGTTGTTACCTGTGCATGTCTTCCCTCGTCTCACTTAGTGTTTCCAGTTTGCGTTGTATCCCTTTGATTTGGCCAGGCGTATTTCGTAGGGGCGCGGGCTTTTCCACACAACGTTCTTTGGACCACCATTAACAGTTTTAAAATTCTGAGTATTTATTTTGCAAAAAAGTGCTGGAAACAGTTTTTGATTTTGGATAGTTCCGAAAACGTATAACAAACATCAGCAAGAGACAGTAATCATGTGTTGGTCATGTTATGTGAAGAGGGGTGATGAAACATTTTAAGACCATTGGGAAGATATGTGGAAGAGACAGCGCGAGAAGATTCTTGACAGCCTTTTGTAATGACATTGAGGTGTGTTAACACTCGAACTGATACACGCAGTTGCGGATCGCAGATTGTGGAGAGGCATTATCGCCCACGATGGTCGGCAAGGCACTTGATGATGATGATGATGCCCAGAATATCAGTTGCAATTCTTAGTTAGTATTTCAGTTTACATCCGCTCCGTTTGAGCGTTCCCTTTCGTAAATCTGTCTGTTGTGCCGAAAAACCGTGTCCCTCCTCAAACCAATTGCCTCTTTCATTAGCTGCACCTTCGTCGGAGATTTTCCTCTTTCTCATTTATGGGCACGATGTCTGTCAATGATTGTCGGTCCTTGAAACTAATTTATAGTCTGAGGGCTTCAGGTTGGCTTTTTATTTTTGTTCAAGGTACTTGGTCTTCTTTCTATATGTTAATTTCTTCAGCACATGCGTGTCGATTATGTATCCTTAGATCTAACCATACATCTTCACGTACCGCATAACCGATGAAAAGTTTTTGTCTAATGAACCTTACTTTTTTCATCGACAAAGTAACAACCTGGAGGGTTTTATAGCTTCGTCTCTTTTACAGGATCGTTTTGCTTGTGGAATAATGGAAACATGACATAGTTCAAAAATCTGGGCACTCTTCCGAATACCGGTCCCAAATTATTCTCAGCGAAAAACATCCATTTGAGAGCCTCAAGAGGTTATGTAGTAAAACATTAAGGCCATCATCATCAGCTATCACTTCTGCCGTTTTTGCTCGATGAATAGCAATGTTTAGACGTTGAGCTAAGCGCCGTGGGAAAGAGCAGTTTTTAATCCAGTGTTTAAGAGCCGTAGGGAGGAGTAGTTTTCGATGCAATAAATCGCAGTGGGGAGTAGTAGTTACATTGTTCACATTACCCTCTCTTCCCTTGTGGGTTCCAGGCCCACATGTTTGAGGGGAAAAAAGAATAGATCCACTGCCACCTAAAAAGCATGTTGTAAAAGGCGACTAATTATGACTGTGCTGAAATCGGATGTATAGGGACGAAAGGCGCAGATATCGCAGCCTAGCTGTAAACCACAGCACAACGTGCCAACCGCAATTTCAAGAGGGTTAAAAGAAAAAGAATTATCACCCGGCAGACTCAAGAGTTTGGTTCAAATGAAATTATATAATAACACGAAGCATAGTTCGCAGTGTTCCTATTCCATAGTTCTAAATAAATGACTTCTTGAGGCCCTAAATAAGATTTTTTTAAGAGTGAATAATTTGGGACCGGTATTCGGAAGAGTGCCAAAATCTGATTGTTCTGAATTGCAACGTAGAGGTCGACCTGGTGTAAACAAGGATGTCAAGATGCTGAGTTGGTTCTGTACCTACCGTACATCACTGTATACCCGTCTGATAAGTCGGCCTCCAGTCTTAAAAATATGTTTTAAAGCAATCAGACTCGCTTTATGCACAACAATTTACAATGTGCATTTTTATTTCTAATTGCATGTCAATATTAACATACAGAAGTGAACGTTGGAGGTGCATTATAACGTGGAACAAGAGTTTAATGCTTTTTAAAACGAATACGTGCCCCAAAACGGTTAAGGTTACTGCCAAACTGCCTTTACTGTCATAACTGCGGTGTAGGCAGGAGGGAATTTGTGTCTGGTGATTTAGGGCCGCGTGGCTAGTGCAGACGCTACGGACTGTGCAGTTTGAGATATTTAAATAGAAAAGTGTCCCCGTTACAGAAATGAGACATTATCTGGTATCCTGTGCAGGACACTGCTCCTTCCCCCCCCCCCCCACCCGCCCACTCCCGGCCGCCACCCGGAGGGGGCAGGTAGTGGAGAATGAACTAACTCCATTTTAGCAAGCATGACACAAAAGTGACAGATGAAGCATATATCGGATATATCCTGGATGAATGATCGAATGCCAAAGCCTATCGTTAAACATCAGTAGAGCGTATCAATCATCACAGTAACAGCAAACGAAGAAGAAGAAGAAACAAGAGAAGGAGGAGGAGGAGAAAAAGTAGAAGAAGAAGAAGAAGAAGAAGAAGAAGAAGAAGAAGAAGAAGAAGAAGAAGAAGAAGAAGAAGAAGAAGAAGAAGAAGAAGAAGAAGAAGAAGAAGAAGAAGAAGAAGAAGAAGAAGAAGAAGAAGAAGAAGAAGAAAGAAGAAGAAGAAGAAGAAGAAGAAGAAGAAGAAGAAGAAGAAGAAGAATAAGAAGAAGAAGAAGAAGAAGAAGAAGAAGAAGAAGAAGAAGAAGAAGAAGAAGAAGGAGACGATGATGACAAATATAATAAAAACAAACTACTTACTTGGCTGAGATTTCACATAGATGACAATCAGAACACATGATAAACATAGTACGTGTGTTATGTCACTGCGTCTCATCATACCATTTTAGAGATGTCTGCATATGTTGCAATATAATAGGGACTAAAAGGAGCCAAACAATAAAACATTGCTATTTGTGAGAACAATACCTACTGTATATAATAAACATTAGAATACTTGACTCAAACAGTAAAGTGCAACCCATTCTACACTTATTGGGGTGTTCAAAAATAGCAGTACTTTTTACTACCACCTCTATTGTCTCGTATGCATGTATAAATGAATCAAAAATCAACCGCACTGCACTGGAGACATGTCTGTACATGCTCATCTCCTTCCAAAAAACAAACAATGAGACGACATGCTAATAATACCAATTTCAACCTGATTAAAATGCTGCCTAATTTTCTTCTTCAGCGTTGAATATTTTCCGTATCAAATGGTGCAAGCTACTCTGCGCACATGAGGAAAGTTTCAATTTTCCTATACATGCTCACGGAGCCAGGTACAGTAACATGTAGGGCAGTCCAGCTGTCAAGCAATCGTAACGCTGCCGTTACTCCCTCCACCTCCATTCTCAGACTTGATGTAGTGACGTTGTACGCAACTCATTTTTTTTTTCAAAGTGTCGATTCACCTTCCCAATAAAACCCCATCCACACATCGTGCATCTCACCACAGACCTATCTGTACCTATCATCAGCATCATCATGTAGCAGGTCCTTTGAAGAACGTCGCTCTCCGCACGATCTGTTAAAAAAAAAAAACTCGGTCTCTAGCCAGTTCTCTCCCGCCTCATGTACTTTCATACTCAGGGAGTAACTTACATCCTGTGCCCATCTTCATTTTGGTCCTTCCTTTCTCGCTAGAATGTTTTACCTTGCTTGTCATAAGTTATGTCTTTTTATTTCTTTGACCATCTCAATATTACTGGCTATTTAGGAAAATTGATCTGTTACTGTAGTTGTTTCTGTCTGTTGTAATAGGAAGTGCAACAAATGTTTTATTTAAAAACAAAGAGAACTACACGGAAACTATAGCTTTCGATTTTTATGTTGTCTAGTGTGTTCTTCTATCTTTCTACTTCTTTCTATCAGTGCCGTTCACAATACTTTCTGTTACTTGATTAAATAATCAATAATTCTTTGAATTAGAAGAAAACCGATGTTTACCCTTAGAGTAATATTTATATTATAAAATGTCCATAGTGTAATTTTCATCATACCATTTTTGGCATGGATAGATCCAATCTGTGTACATTAGCTTCATGGACACAGAGACATATAACCACAGAAATGAAGCCTCAGAAGCAATACATACTGAAATTATCAGACCATTTCTTGTGAACGCCGGTTATTGACGAAAATTAAATCCCGTAATTCCAGTAGTGCTAGGTGCGGCACGGATTTTCCAAAAGTTCGTTTTCAGTGCGCATGCTTCTTTCTCAACAAGGTCGCATACGCTCCATCGATGCTTGATTGTGCGAGGGACTGGATACTGGCGGTTGACCGGAGGACCAGCCTGCGACCCGACATAGTCCTACTCTGCGGAGAAACGTCAGCTCATCCTGATTGAGCTGACCGTGCCGTATGAGTGGCGAACGGACGAAGGTCATATGTATAAGCTCGAGATATACAGGGACCTAGCGGCTGATCTGAGAAGAGACGAAGCGTACACAGTAAAAATCTTCGCTATCGTAGGTAGGCGCAAGAGGTATTGTCTCCACTTCTATGTAGAAAGTGATAAATCAATTAGGCTTGAGAGGAAACGAGCACAAAAACAAGTGGGCAAGGCTGCAGATAGCGCCTTGAGCTATCTTTGGACGCAACGGAACGTCGTGGGGGACGACCCTCGGTAGGCTGGTCCGGGTATATAGTGGAAAAAAAGTCTTATCCCTAAAAGTCCATCGTGTTCGAATTGCCTGCCTGTGTGCCTCTGCCATTTGCCAACAAAGTCTAACATGTGTCCGATAAACCAACCGTAAACGTGCCACTTGGTCGTCCAGGTATGCTGACTGCTCTAACATGCTACCGCAGCGACTATGTAAAAAAATTCGAATCTCACAGTACCTGTTGCATATTCACCAATTTTGTTTAGTGCCCGTCCGAAAACCTACGGTAATACGTGCAGCAGGAGCAGATCAAGCCTGAGAATCATGAACTCGGGTGGGTCCACCCTCTGAGATTCTCTAGGAGCTCGTGGGCCCACACAATTGCAGACGAGGGATCACTTATACTGATGACTGGTAGACTTCTGCTGAACATGCTTCCTTGTGTAGTTTCTTCTTAGTGCATATTAGCGTTTTGTTTTTATCTTCATTAACTCCCTCGGCGTACCTGTAACACCAGTTCCATGTTGATTTACTGTTGTTCTCTATCTGTCTGTTTAGTGTTCATTTCTGGCAGCACCCCTTTTGAAATTATTGTAATACTGCTATTGCAGATTTACGATCGCCTGCCGTGAACGATTATGCCTCTCCACAATCAGTGATCTCCTGCAGTATGTATTAGTTCGTGTCCTGACACATCTCCATGCCATGCAACAAGACTGTCAAGAATCCTCTCTCTTTGTCTTCCTCAATCCCTCCTTCCACTCCAGTAGAATCCCCATTCACGTCGTTTTCTGAATTGTTTTAATTCGAGGCATGCTTTTTTGGGTATAATGCAATGGTGGTCTCCCTTTGCCTCTAGCCGGTTCATATATGGTTGGACTTCAGTAGCCTTTGTCTAAAGAGACTTACGCTGCAAGGCTGCAATGGAGAGAGGTTATGGCGCCTCTTACCTGCCAATGGCCATGTCGTAGAGTTTTTATGTATTTTTTAGATTTAGCTGTCCCACCAACTAGCTCGCTCCCTCTCAATGACCATCACCTGTTTTGGTCCATGGCCACTTATTCGATATATTCGTGGCTAAACTCTTACCTAGAGGCCTTTCCACCATCCGCCACCTGGTGGTCACGCCCAGCAGTAGGACAGGCTCCTTCCCAAGGTGAGAACATTAGCTTAGCCCATTGCTTGTTCTGTGACTACTGTGGCCCTGCTATTAAACCCTCTTACTTCGTATGCAGGCTCAATTCTCTGATGCAGGAGCCATTTAAATGCTCCCTTATTGACTGTTCCTATACTAAATTGCCTGTAACATTTCTATAACATTACTATACAGGAAGAGACCCATAATCTGTGACAGAAATACAATAATATTTAGCGCGATTTGCTGGAGTGTGGGGAAAGGTCAGTTAATTCATTTTTACGGCCAGTTACTGCCGTAATTTTAACAGTTTTACTGTGTAGGCAGGTTTGCCTTAAAGACTGAGGATTTATGGTCGCATGGCTAGTGCACCACGACTGTGCAGGTGAGGATTTTATTTTGTCCCCTACAGTAAGGCCATCAATCCATATTTTACAAGGTCTTTTGCTGTTGTATCTTTTCCGTGTGGCTCGCTGTGGCAATAGGAATAAACTCACAGGGAGCAAGTACAGCAGGGATCTACCAGTCGTCAGTAGAAATTATCCTCGTCAACGAGCGTTTCGGCGTTGCGTCCAAAGCCAGCTAGAGGCCCTTTCGGCTACCTCTCCCAGTTTTTTAAGTGTACGTTTCTGTTCATTACCGCGCAATCCTAGTTCTTTAACCACATTGTAGAGCGAAGTGGAAACGAGGCCTCTCGCTCCCACTTCGACGGCAAATACCCGTACCGTGTACGCCTCGTTTCTCCTCAGACCGGCTGCTAAATCACTGTATTTCTCGAGCTTATACAGGTGATTTTCATCCATACGCGACTCATACGGGACGGTCAACTCTATCGGTATTATTGTTAGGAGTTCAAACCACTTTATTTGTTGTTCTTTGATGAGCTGTAGGACTGGCATTATTCCTAGCATTCGTCCGATTTCGTCATTTCGTATTCTGTCTTTCCTTGAAACTCCTGCAGCTGTTCTATGACATTTCATCACTGTTTTCACAATTTTACGTTCATTTGAGGATGTAAGTGTCCACGTTTGGAACTAATAGCATAGTGTTGGCCAAAAAATAGTTCTGGTAAGATTCACCTTTGTACTTTCTACCAAACCCCAGAAAGTTTCACTTACATACTGCAGCTAGGCACTGAAACATGATGACAAACCTTTATATTAAGGAGTAACCTTTGAACCAAGACTCACGTGAAGAAAACAAATAGAAAAGAAACAGAGCAAGGGACTCAAGAGAACCTAACTGATGAGGAAGTTAGCTGGAACAGACTAGGGTGGGGTGGGGGGGGGGGAGGCAAACCTCAGTGTCCTCAAGAGGACCTATACAGGCTATGTGCAGCCAACACTAGAATAGGGGATAGCTGCTTGGGGCACAGCAGCTAAATCAATGTTTCAGAAAGTCCCAATGATCCATAATAATGCTCTCCGTTTCATAACAGGGGCGATGCGCTTTACGATCATATCAGACAATGAAACAATAACCGGTCTTCGTGCTCTGGAAGATAGGAGAGACACAAAGTTCCTCGTCCAGCTCTCCTAATACCACCACTTTAGAGATCAACCCGTGCACAGTCGACTGCGGAAACCTAAGAAAAACTAGACTAAAAAGAATGTGTTTCAATAAGAACGCAAATGTTAAACTTGCTGTCTTTAAACTCCTTTCCGTAATACTAAATGTACCACCGAAACCTTACAACCACTGCCCCCCTCCCTCCCCTTGGCTTAGGTAAAGCCTGCCAACAGTCAGAACCACTGTAACATGTATCTCCTCCAAATCATCAGCGCTGATACGAAATCAATTACAGAAGGAGGGATGAACAGACTTTATCCACACCAGATTTGGATTAGACTGTATACAGATAGTTCAGCCAAGAGAGCAGTAAGAGACGGGGGAAGAGGAAAATACATAGAATGCCCAAATGGTTTAAAAACCAACAGCACCAACAGGTAAATATTCTTCCAATTAGAGAGCAGAGGCAGAAGCACTTCTGGTGGCATGTTCTTTCCTGAATTGACAACAGCTTATCAAATAGGGCTGACTGATCACGTAACCAACCTGTGCTATCATCCCACTGATGGGTGGTATTGATGGTTAAGTGTTCTAGTCCTATCAGTATCGATTCACTTGTTTTCCCTATTTGCTGTCAGGCATGTCTTGTGAGCCCCACCGGTCATGTTTATGGTGTATGCATGCTATAGAATGGGATGTTTGTGTGTATGAATCCCCGGAGTATACGGACGCACACATTTTAGTGTATGCGTACATGCACTCGATCACTCATCCAGGCAGACAACAGTACATGCGTGCACTTCCTTTCATTTTTATCCGTGGATGCATACCTATTTGACATTCCGTACACGTGCATACTCCTATATATATGTCTACCAATGCCTACATAAATGTACTTACATTCATGAAAAACGTGTACATCTACACTTAAGGACACTCACACTTCCATGGCTTGCATGTTATTTGGTGTCGCTATGTCTGTAATATCGTCTGGTGGTGTCACTTTTTAAGTTATGTCCCATTCCTGGTATGTGACCTGTCCGTTATGTTCTGGTGGATGGTGTGTGTTGATGAGGTTCTTGCTGAAGTGGGTACACCAGCCCACGGATAAGTATGAAAGAAAGTGCACACATGAAGTATTGTCTGCGTGTATTAGGTTGGTGACGTGATGCTATATTACCGGTTAAAAGCCACGCTAGAATCCAACAAGATGGCAACGAAGAGAAATGACTGAATGGCCTCCGGTCCCCTTCCCCTCACCCTGCCCTACCTCTTTCGGATGCACTATGCGTTACCCCCCCCCCCCCCCCTTTTTCCCACTACCACTCCCACAGAGAGAGATGAGTTTGATACCCAGCATGCCAGAGTAATTCACATCGCCGAACATCTGGATCTCAAAGCGTGAGCTGGGTACTCTGGTTATTTAGTATTTACGTACACCGGAGTGTAACTGCCAACCAAAACCGACACAACCGGATCACACACTCACAAATGACGAATAGACCCGCTTTGAGGTTCCAAACAACATTTAACACACATTTCCACGTCATGACTAACGCGTTCCTATTGCAGGAAGACAACTATAAGACCACCATGGTCACATGCGAAATATTTTTACATTTCAGATCTATCTAAAATCAAAAAAACTGTTTTCAGTACTTTTTGGCAAAATAAAATTCTCAAAATTATAAAACTAAAAATAGTGGTCCAAAGAACGTTATGTATAAAAGCTCGCTCTCCTACGAAATACGCCTGGCCAGATTAGAGGGAGACCAAACCAAGAGGAAACACCAGGTAAGAAGAGGACAGATATGCACAACTAACAACAGGGTGGAGGACGAGTGGTCTGAATCGGAAGAAAGCATCAAGCATAGAAATGGCACAAATACTAGAATTTAGTCACGAATGTGACGCAAATAACCCAGACCACAAATATAGGCGGAGACTGTTAGCAGCCTTAGCTAGCTAGCAGCAGTCTGAAAGTGATCGACCTTTTAATATTTTTCTCAAAAGGAATCGGAATCGGAATGTCACTTATACAAGCAATTGTTAAAACAAAAAGACACTTAGTTTGTAGACTTGACGCAACAGCTGATTCACTTAGGTTCTTCAGTAGAACAGTCTGTACTGCAGTGGATTCCAGGTCACTGTAGCTTCGAAGGCAATAAAAAAAAAAAAAAAGATTGGCAAGAGATGACATAGTACAACCACACAGTGATTTAAGACACCAAGAGATGAATACAATAATACAATCTAGTGTCCAAGAAAGGTGGCTGGATTCACACACCAGATTCTCTTCTTAACTCTTTGAGTCCCAAGAAACGCATCATACGTTCATAGGTTACTGCCTAGAAGCCCTACGAACGCATAATGCGCCGATTTTAGTCTCTTTTGACTACCCCTTGGGCCTGTGATGCTAAACCCTCTGGGACTCAAAGAGTTAAGACTGGCTTCATCGCCTCTCTAGAGAAGGACAGTGAATTATATTCAGACTAAGGACTGGGCACAACAGACTTCGTCAACATATGTTCACATTTGTTTATGTTGGAAATATGGAGGCGTGTCCCTGCAGCCTGGCACCCGAAAATACTGAGCATGTGCTCCAACACAGTCAACTGATGCTGACAACAGAGACGCAATCTGGCCTGTTCCAACCACAATGCAGACACAGCTGTATGGTACACTATAAGATATGGACTTCACGTTAGCTTTCATAAAGGCTACCGGCCTCCTGATACAAGTTTTTCAGATAGGAGGATCGAAGAAGACTTGAGTACTCCGGGGTATCTGCCTATGTGTCAACAGGGAAGATAGTTGTCACATTACTTGATTAGCTTTAGCACATCTCGAGCTAATTTATGTGTCCAGTTTTCTATTGCATTTAAAATTGCTCCCAAATACTTGAATTCCTGTGCTTGTCTTAGTGCTATGTTTTTTTTTTTACAAATTTATTTGTAGATTGTCTTTCTGACCTACTTTTACCATCTGTCTCTGTCTTCGTAGTATTTTTTTTAAATATTATATTCATCCCCTTGGTTATTATTTTTATTTAAGTGGTTCTGTAGACCTTCCGTACTTTCTGCTATAAATACCCCCTGGTCATCGGCGAATAGTAATTCTGTAATATCTTCTTCATGAATAAAGTTTCTTTCCCTAGATATGGTTTCCATGTAAGTTTAAAAATAAGTGGTGATAGTACACATACCTGACGCACACCAGAGTTCACTGAAAATTAACGATTATAAATAGCAAACCGAAAATTAACGTATTTACTTTAAAAAAAAGATACAAAAATGCCAACATGAAATGAAAATCGTGGATACGTATATGCAAACATAGAAACAGAAGACAAATTGTTTGAAGACTATTTTAATGGAAATCAAAAATCAACGATTATATATAGCAAACCGAAAATTAACTAATTTACTTTAAAAATAAAAGATAAAAAATGCTAACATGAAATTAAAATCGTGGATACGTATATGCAAACTTAGAAACAAAAGACAAATTGTTTGAAGACTATTTTAATAGAAATTAAATGTTTTAACTGCAGGAATGACGCAACGCATTCTAGTATTTCAACTGTATTGTTTGCAAACGCAGTCGATTCATAATGTAATTCAGGGCAATGTTTCTCCCAAGAATGTACTTTACTATAATAAATGTAAAAAGCTTGTACATAGTTTTATAAAATCTAAATTATCAATAGTAAATATTCACCGTATCCAGCTTACTTGACTCAGTTTCCGACTGGAATCATTGGTATAGGCCGTTGAGCAATTATGGACTAAGCTCGTTTGTGTGATGCCGGAACTATAACGACTAACTAACTAACATTGAAAGTATAATTGAAGTGACATTGATACTGACGGCTGATAGAAACATGAGTTGTACTGTAATTTACTAATCCCAATCCGTGGTTGATTGATCTATACATGTATGCAAATATTTATGTACAACTGACCAGCCTTCACGTCCAAGTGATATCATCATCTTTACAGAACATTCACATGGAAGCTACACTAGCAGCAGCCAGACTTGCAGTAGTCAAATCAGACTACGTGAACAAGCCTTTAAAAATCACAACAGACAATCGGAATAGGTAGAGGGCGTTGGGAGGTTGCACTTAACCTTCATCACAAGGATCAACACAGCCGGGCATGCCGATATAATGCAACGATCACGACCAACTGAAAAATCATGCACCAGTGTTTATGGAAAAATGCAAATACGTTCTTGACATCACCAACACTGTACTGTCGGGCTAGTGGGTGATGAATAATCTCATATACAATCACGATCGCATGACCTGTGAGTACATCTTGGAGTAGTACATTTATACCTTCTTCAAGGTTAGGATGCATAGAAAACATTATAACAAACGTATCATTGGAACAATTAGTCGAGATACCACACAGTGGCTGCGACATCGGAGTACTCAGCACGTTTGCGAATGCCCGCTGTCAATGGATATCTATTGTAGTATCATAATACACCATAATTTAACATAACAGAGACATACATATCAGTGTGCATAAAGTTTACGCATATGCCAGATCGACAGGTCCTACGCCCCAAACTCACAATGCCTCAAATGATTGAACAAGTATACGCAATTACGCATGACCCTAATGCACACGACCTGGTATGGCAAAAGCCGCGATGTGTCAGCCGAATACGATGTGAAAGAGCAAAATCAGCATCACAGTCAAGGTCAATATTTACAAATCACTGTTGTCTTTTTTTTCTTTTCTTATTCACATGTGATATTTGGACTCTCACTGTGAAAATTGAAATGAGGATTCAAGCTTTTCAATGTGAATACAACAGACGCATTTTACGAATTTGTTTTTTATAACACAAAACTAATAAATATGCAAAAGACAAAAAAAAAAAAAAAAAATACAAACTTGCGGGACAAAGTTAAATGTGGAATCTTATTGACGTGAAAGACCCAAAGAACCACCATGATAACTCTTAACTCTTGTGTTGCTGAAGCTGAGCATTTTGATCTTTTGCACGCCGAAAACGAACTATACCACACCTTTCACAGCTGACAGTACGGGCTGTGTCAGTGTCCATGTCTATTCTTTCGCGGTTCGTGAACCCCTGAACAAATGCGACATTAGATTGGTATGTGGAGCTAGAAGGCAACTGAATAGTGCAAGCAATGAACGGCGTCTCTATTGTAACGTTTTTTGTTTTTTTTAACCATCCAGTCGCAGGTTGATCGTGTTTCTAAAGTCCGTCTCTAAATTTAAGTCCTCTAGCTGGCCTGCAGTTGTCCTTAGAATATTGTCCTTTAAATATACAATTATTACTACTCTCATTCAGGAAATAACAACACACACACACAAACAAACTTAGAAAAAAGCAACATTAGGAAGTGCGGCACAACGAAGCATTTTTGTTTTATCTTTCAGTGCAGCAACCATTTACTATAGTCTGCCATCTGCCTCGGCTGTAGCTTCTTCCGATGAATGTCTGCGTTTTTTCTTTCTCAAGCAGAAGCCGACAAAGAAGGTTGCGGCAAAAAGAGTACACAGGCCAATGATCATTTCTATATTCCAACCGCCTGATGACGTCGTCGCCACAGATGCGACTGCCAATGAATGAAAAGACATGTTATTGTGGGCGGGACCACATTTATAAAACAAACGAAACAGAGACAGCAGAGAAAAATTATGCCTGTAAGAATTCGATCATCTTATTCACTTACACACACACACCTCTGACTGACAATCGTCTTAATTTACTCGCACTCCAACGATTGATCATATTCTCGATCTTCTCACACAACAATTATTTGCAATATTTTCAAACAACTTAGACACCTATACCTGACTAAATCAAGCATCTCCAATTTACTGTTTTACAGGGCAATGCTACTGCAATGTCATTATCAGTTCTGCCCGGTCGGTCAAAAAGAAGGACATGATATGACATTTACCTGTTTTATATTTTTCAACAGCAAACTAGTTTCCTATCGTTCGGTTGCGCTTACTCACAAGTTTCTAAATGAGCACGCCTGATATTAGACACAAAGAACTCAACAGGAAGTTGAAATTGAGCGGACCGTATTTTGATAACTGGTCAGTGGTAGAATAAAAGCGTTTACTTCTCACACGTCGATTAGGCTGCGCGGTTTAACAATTAGGAGCAGGAAGTGTTTCCTAGGACTGAAAGAGTTAACAATCCTTATATTCTCCTAAGTCTGTGTCTAACTCAACAATTCAAATATAACGTGTTCGATACTGACAGATTGCGAGCCCTATCTGAAGTAGACGTGGCAAATCTGAATCATACAAAACTATTGCTTAGTATTTCATATAGATGCATCTTGTTCATCCTCTTTTGTGCAATAATTTATGTATGTGCTATTTTTGTGTCACATAACTCTTGGAGTCGTTTATGTCATTTTGTTATAATGTGTACACTATCTACAGTGTCATGAATAGAGTCCAATCAAGCACCATTATTTTCAAACTGCAACGTTCTTTACCTGGAGATCGTCTTTTCCTTTCTCCTGGGATAGGGTCATTTAAAAAAAAAAAAAATCCGTGTCCGTCTGAACCCATGGCGTTTTGATCTACAAGTGGGCATTTGGCAGCTCCATCACGAGTGTAGATGTGTGTATAGGCACATACATGCATGTTATGCAGACACGTATACGTGCATTCCGATGTGGGTTGCAGACTTGTATGTAATGAATTATTGTACATATATGCATTTGTGATTGTACATGTGTGTATATATATGTATGTGGGTGTGTATAGTTCATACTAGACACTCCCCAACAACCCTCGCTAGGTTCTTCAGTCCCAGTCCAAGCAATTATTATTTTTTTAGCAAACATAATCGTTACATATAAACCAGACCACAGTTATAACCGATACTGCCAACAGTATATTAATTGATGTCGATTTTCTATTTCGTTTTTCATCAATGAATGGATGGACAGTGTCTCTGTTTATAATGTTTTTCTGTATTTGGTTCCTCTTTTCTCAGTATGTGCCCGACGTATCATCAACAGTGCGAAACTTATACCACCAAAGGATGCTTTCGCATTTGAGAAATTTAGCACGAGATTTTAAAATTGTCACAAGGCAGCAAACACATTCTAGAGGGAAACACATACCGCTTTCACAGAGCTCTCCGTGTGAGCCTTCCTTACATCCCTTAAGACAGGCACCAGTCACAGGATCGCACATGGAATCGTTTGCGTTACCGAAAGGCTGACAATTCTTGCTACACTCTGATTTGCAGTTGTTACCAAAGGTTCCAGCCGCACACACTGAAATAGTGACCAAAACACATACTGTGCTGACATCTTTTGAATGATATCATTTTTATTTCAGTCACCCACGGCAGATCACACTTCAAGGTGAGATTATTTGTCTCCAGAAAAAAAAAAATGGCTACAGGAACCTAAACGTGTAGGTACTAGGAACCCTGTGTCTGTAAACGTCCGCCACTGGTTCCACTGTGTCCTACATGTCAATCCTGGGATGATTGTGTACTCACATTTCTATCACTATGGCGATTGTGTCCCTTTGCATGTCAATTACTGGGTAGATCTATTGTGTCTTATATGGAGGTCCATGGGGTCATACATGCCCATTACTGGATCTGTTACCACCTTAGGTAAGGATAGGTACTTAAGGTACTAGGAGCCCCGTAACACAATTTAGAGAAATGGGGAAAAGGATCGCCCAACTCGAAGTTTAATGGGACCAAGCAGCCTCCACACAGGAACATGTCAATAAGTTCTTGGTTGAAATATGTGTGTGTATACATTTCAATGTCATATGTTATTAAAGTTATTTGCCATTAAGCACATTATTAACATTATTGATCATGTTGCTATTACTATTATTCACTAGACAAGACGTTAACTATTTGAGTGTCACATCAACCCACCATCCCCTCCCCCTTCCCTCCCCCAAACAACAACAACAACAACAGCTTAGCGCTCTTCCCCACCCCCACCCAAAATGTCCCCCATGTCAGCCACTGGGACGATTGTGTCTTGACACGTCCATCACTGGTTCCACTGTGTCCTATATGTCAATCCTGGGATGATTGTGTACTCACATTTCTATCACTATGGTGATTGCGTCTTTACATGTCAATTACTGGGTAGATATATCGTGTCTTATATGGAGGTCCATGGGGTCTTACATGCCTCTCACTGGATCTGTTGCCACTTTTTTTTTTTTTTTTTTTTTGAATGTTCATAGAAGCTCATTCGTCAGTGTTGGGAGCTACAGTAGAATAGTGGCTAGACGCTGCTCAAAGATTTTGGGTTTGAAACATCATATGGCGGACTTTGAAACAATCCCCCCCCCCCCCCCACACCACTGAATTGTCTTTTTTCTCAGACCGATTAGGTTTATATATGAATAATGAAATATTATAGGGAGTAAAGGCGGAAACAGTGCAGTTAATGACAATAATTAAGCAATTGCCTATTTGGTAAAAAATCCAAGATCCAGTATTGGCATCAAAATTGTCCTCTAATGTGACTTCATGTCACACATGCCAGCTACCCTGCCTCTGACATCATCATGCTCATTGTGTCTAAAATAGCAAATACTGGGTGGACTGTCTGTTACATGTCTCTCACTGGGTGGTATGCCTGTTACATGTCCATAACTGGGTGGATTGTCTGTTGTATATCCATCACGAAGTGGTCTGCCTGTTACATGTCCATAACTGGGTGGATTGTCTGTTGTATGTCCATCACGAGGTGGACTGCCTGTTAAATGTCCATCACTGGGTGGATTTTCTCGTACATGACCGTCGCGAGGTGGATTGTCTGTTACATGTTCATAACTTGGTGGACTGTCTGTTACATTTTTATAACTGGAGGGATTGTCTGTTACATGTCTATAACTGGGTGGATTGCACGAACATGCCCATCACTGGGTGGATTGTCTCGTACATGCCTATCACTTGCAGATTGTCTCCTACATGACCATCACTGGGTGTATTGTCTGTTACATGTCTATCACTGGGTAGACTGTCTGTTACATGTCTATCACTGGGTGGACTGTCTGTTACATGTCTCTCACTGGGTAGATTGTCTGTTACATGTCTATCACTGGGTAGACTGTCTGTTACATGTCTCTCACTGGGTAGATTGTCTGTTACATGTCTCTCACTGGGTAGATTGTCTGTTACATATCTATCACTGGGTAGACTGTCTGTTACATGTTTATCACTGGGTGGACTGTCTGTTACATATCCATCACTTGGTGGATTGACTGTTAGATATCCATCACTTGGTGGATTGACTGTTACATGTCCATCACTGGGTGGATTGTCTCGTGTATGTCATCACTGGGTGGATTATCTCGGACATGTCCATCACTGGGTGGATTGTCCTAGGTTGTGGATTTTTTTCCTGCAGATGTTGAATGTCATCCCTGGCCATAACTGGCTGTGATTCATACGCCTCTGTGTAACATAATATAGCACTAACTTCTGAAAAGAACGAAAAGATCAGTGAAAGCTTGGGAACCTAGTTTATTGACCAGCTCTTTACTTTCTTTGCTTACGTATGAAGTAGACATGGGCTGTTGCGGTAATGTCAGAAGCCATCTAAACAGCAAAGTCATCTGTTACGCTGCTCTGAGAGACACCCTATTTTTTTTACTAACTGAAAATATGAATAATAATTAGTATAGCTGAAGATGATATATATAATGAAATCGTTGGTACAGAAAGTCTGTAATTGAAAGACACAAGTCGCGAGTAACAGCCGCACATAGTGTTTTCAGTTCAGACTATCATTATGTCAGTGTCAAAAAAAAGAATAACATGAATGTCAGCGTTTTTTCTTTCTCAAGCAGAAGCCGACAAAGAAGGTTGTGGCAAGAAGAGAAAACAGGCCAATGATCATTTCTATATTCCAACCGCCTGATGACGTCTTCTCAGATGCGACTGCCAATGAATGAAAAGACATGTTATTGTGGGCGGGACCACATTTATAGAAAAAAAAAAAAAAAAAAAAAACAACATAGAAAGCAGAGAAAAATTATGCCCGTAAGAATTCGATCATCTTATTTACTTACACACACACCTCTTACTGACCATCAACTTAATTTACTCGCACTCCAACGATTGATCATATTCTCGATCTTCCCACACAACAATTATTCGCAATATTTTCAAACAACTTAGACACCTATACCTGACTAAATCAAGCATCTCCAATTTACTGTTTTACAGGGCAATGCTACTGCAATGTCATTATCAGTTCTGCCCGGTCGGTCAAAAAGAAGGACATGATATGACATTTACCTGTTTTATCTATTACAACAAAAAACTAATTTCCTATCGTTCGGTTGCGCTTACTTACACGTTTCTAAATGAGCACGCCTGATATAAGACACAAAGAACTCAAAAGGAAGTTGAAATTGAGCTGCACGTATTTGATAACTGGTCAGTCGTAGATTAAAAGCGTTTACTTCTCACACGTCGATTGGGCGGCGAGGTTTGACAATTAGGCGCAGGATATGTTCCCTAGGACTCAAAGAGTTAACAATCCTTATATTCTCTAAAATCTGTCTAACTCGGCAATTCAAATATAACGTGTTG